GGCCTCCCAAAGTGCTGAGATTACAAGTGTGAGCCACTGCACTCAGCTGGGTTCCTTGGTTTCTAAGATTGGAGGATGTGTGGTACAGTGGTTCTGGCCTCAGGATCTGGGTTTAAATCCGTTTTGACCCTGTGCTTTGTGCTTTTAATGCTTGGGACAGATGCCAACGTTTTTAAAATGCAGAGGAAGGAGGGGATACTGAAGATTAAAGGATTTATTATACTTTGATATTGAACCTTTAGCAGTGAATACACATATCAAAAGTTCTCTCATATCATGTACCTGTAACCAGAATTTTGTACTGACTTTTCCTTATGGTGATTTTCATCACTGTAACTGGGTTGTGCAGAAGACATGCTTTTCCTCAAAGCCTCTGGAGTTGAACTCTCACTTCTGACTGATTCATTGGAAAAAAAAAAAAAACGCTGTCAATGTGTTTCAGGCAGACAGCTGTTCTGTTTTGATTTGAATCATTTACACCGCATCAGTTTTGCTTCCAATGTTTAATTTCACAGCAGTTTTCTCTAGCTCAGAGGCAGCTAAACTTGCTTTAGTAATATAAATACCCCTAATTAGTTTGACTATATTGGGTAATCCCATAAATTTGACAGTCTGTGCACTAAAGTGAAAACAAAAGCTGTCTGAAACCACTGATGTAAGACTGTGCTAAAATCAGTGAATTGTTGAAGTCTGAGGCCCAGTAATATTCTCCTCTATATAGGTAACACTTCTAGCTGTGGCAGCAGCTTACGTGTTCTTGTGATAACCCCTGTTGGTCAATCAGTTGTATTTTCAATTAGCTGTGTCACTGACACTTCTTAAGTATTGTGGTAGTCCCTAAAGAGATTAGTATTCCAAACTCCTGTCTCAGATACTGTGAGAGATTAGTATTCCAAACTCTTATGTAGAAGAGTTCACTCTAACATAGCTTTTGAAAAGTTAAGAAGGTTTGGATTCTGCCATTTTTGTCTAGTAGTATTATTTCTTTGGATTTTGTTTCAAGCAAAATTAATTTTATTAAGAGACTACTGGTGGATGGATTGCAAGGGAATTTAGTCTGTACCTTGGGGTAGACAATCCATGAATGGGCTTTGGGAGGTCTGTGAACACCCCCTCCCCACGCTGAAATTATGTGCAAATAGGTGTAATGCTTGCACAAATTTGTAGGGGTTTTTGGTTATTTATTTATTTTAATAGATAATGAGGTGTTGTTATATTGCCCAGGCTGGTCTCGAACTCCTGGATTCAAGTGATCTTCCCGCCTCAGCCTCCCAGAGTGCTTACACAAATTGGTACAAATGTGTATACATTAATCTCAAGAAAGAATGCAAAGCTTTAATCAGTTTCTCAGAGGTTTATGACTCCCCAAGGTTTAAGGGCCCCACTGGTTTTTGAGGAGTCATAAGCAGTGAAAATGCTTAGGTCTGTTTCTGCTGAAAAAAATCCTCTGTTTTGTGAGTTCTAAGAGTCTCAGTTACCAGCTCACTGCCAAAGAAGCCTTCTCCTGCACTTCCTTCACTTTGTGTAGGGTTTCCAATGCTGCTTCCTTCCTGCCATCATCTCACATGTCCCAGGCACTCACACAGAGACTGAAAGAGGTTAGTGTTGTAGTGGGAGGATTCCTGGGATCTGTGAAACATGGGGACAGTCCTGGCTTTGCTCCAGGTGAGCCATGTGTCCTTGGGCCAGCTGGTTTTCTTCTCTGGGCCTCATCTGCATTCATAGATGTCAGTTTCTGATAAGATAGTCTGCAGGGTTCCTTTCAGCTCCAGAATGTGATGTTCCTAAAAGGGGCAACTTTGTAGTAATCATATTATGTTGATTCTGGAAAAATGCAGGAGTTGATGAAACCATTTACGCATTTGGGCTTAAGTGGATTAAGAATTAGTTTCTGGATTGCTTGAGTCCTTGGGTTCGAGACTCACCCCGGCAACTTGGCGAGACCTCTTCTCTACAATAAATCAAAAAAAAATTAGCCAGGTGTGGTAGCGCGCACCGGTAGTTCCGGCTACTTGGAAGGCTGAGGCAGAAGAATTGCTGGAGCCCAGTAGGTCGAGGCTGCAGTGGCCGGGAGCGTGTCACTGCACTCCAGTCTGGGCGATAGAGTGAGACTCCAACTTAAAAAAAGAATTAGTTTCTTATTCATTTTTGTCCTGTTAATTGTTTTATTGAAAATATATGTGTTTCTTCTGCAGCAAATAGCTAAAGAAAGGCAAAAGCAATATAACTGCCTGACACAGAGGATTGAGCGAGAGAAGAAATTGTTCGTTATTGCACAGAAAATTCAAACACGCAAAGATCTTCTGGTGAGGAGAGAACCTTAGGCTTCTTTTTTTTTTCTTTCTTTCTTTCTTGTAAAGGTCTTAACTTAGACTGGATTTCAGCTGTGTGTAAATCAACCCCGGTGAAAATGTCTGCTCCTCAGGGGCAGTATTTTGAGCCAGTGTCTGTTACCCTGACAGTGTTGAAATGTCCCTTGATTAAGAAGGTAATAAGGGGTTTATTAGTCAGTGCTTTGGAATAGCAAAGGGTAGGATCGAGTAGCATATGAACTTTATAGCTTATGAGCAGCTCCCGTAACATTTAAACAGGTTAACAAAACAGTGCATGTCACTCACTGGTGTTTAAAAATAGACAACATTGTCTAGTTAAATAGCAGAGCTAAGGAATATAAGATGCCTCTTTCATATTATTATCATTCCTTTAAATGTCAGATTTTAGCTTTGCAGATCATTTAGGTCAGCCTTTCTCAACTGGGGTTCCGTGAGAGAATTAAAATTATAATTTTAAATAAAAAAACTATGTGAGCACCTTTCTTCTCAATTTGCCCTAGACTGTACACAGCTAGTACCTAGTACCTAGGGGAGAAGTTAATTCCTTGCATACAGTGGATGCCTAGGACAGTAGGAATGTGTCTCTTCTGAACTCTGAGAAGGGCTGAAATGGGGTTTTCTAATAGATAGTTTATTAATCTTTTAATTTAAAAAACCCTCTCCTACTGTTTATTGATCATCTTTTTATCTTTTGTAGGATAAAACTCAGAAGGTGAAGGTGAAGAAAGGAACAGTAAACTCCCCAGCTATTTACAAATTTCAGAGTCGTCGAAAACGTTGACATGTTATAGATAAGCCCTGTCATTCCACATTGAAAAATATTTTTTTTTGTAACTTCAAATTCCATCAGTTCAAATGGCATGATTTTTTGGTTTGTAACCATAACTTATTGTTGATTTGACATTTGATGTCTTTCTATCAACATTAACTTCCCTTTCCCTCTGTTTTCCTCTGTTAATTGTTTTTGGATTGTGGAATCAGTCTTATTTTTATATACGTCATTTTTTAAAATTAGAAAGTTATAGAATATTACAGCAAATTTGGAAAATGGATTAATTAATTCCTAATTCTGATGCTTAAATTTCAAGAACAAGTATTTATTGGATACTTAACTGTGCTAGGAGCTAGAGCTGTAGAGGTGAGCAATTACTATGAGCATTTGAGCTTATTTCCTCCGTTTTGTAAAGGTACATGTTAGTTTTTGTCTATGTTTTTTGTTTTATAGTTGTAATTATAGTAAACAGTTTTATGTTTTACTTCTTAATTAAATCGGTATCTCTTCCATTTTGTTACACCACAAAATTTTAGAAAGTAACATATGATCACAGTTAAAATTAAAATAAATATTGTTTTTGATGATTGCATGGTGTTTTACCTAGTAGATAAACTGATATTCTCATTCATTCTTTTATTGGCTATCCAGGTTGCTTTGTAAGTTATCCAAGGAGGAATTTTTTCTACTTTATAGAAAGTGGAAAAAGAAGATAGACACTCTTGTAACTAGGAACCCAGCTTTACTGATGAAGCTCAAATCAGAATACACCTGACTCTGTTCCTGCCATCTGCACTCTGTGTCAACTTATGATTCTTAGGCTGTGAATGGCATGGTATAGTCTTTTACCCTAGGAATATGGACCCCAGGGTGTGATGGGCAGCTTCCTTCTCTTCCCAGGGTCTTTCCCTCACCTGCCTACATGGGGATTGTAGGCTGGCCAGTCAGGGCAGGACTGAGCATGCTTAGAACAATGTGGTAGAGGGAACAGCTGTGTGTATTTTTTTTTTGAGTTGGTGTCTCACTCTTGTCACCCAGGTTGGAGTGCAGTAGCACACTCATGGCATCACAGCCTACACCTGCTGGACCTAGGTGACCCTTCCGCCTCAGCCTTCCAAGTAGCTGGAACTACAGACACACGCCACCACGTCTGGCTAGTTTTTGTGATTTATTGTAGAGACGAGGTCTCACCAAGTTGCCCAGGCTGGTCTCGAACCCAGGGGCTCAGGCAGTCCTCTCGCCTCGGCCTCCCAAAGTGCTGGGATTGCAGGCTGAGCCACCACACCCAGCCTGTGTGTGGATTTTAAGGATTAAAAAAAAGAAATTACTATTTTTTTCTTCAGCTGGAGTTGTACTTTGTTGCTCAGGCTGGAGTGCAGTGGCACGCTCACGGCCACTGCAGCCTCGACCTGTAGGGCTCAGGTGATCCTTCCACCTCAGCCTTCCAAGTACTACAGGCGTGTGTCACCACGCCCAGCTAATTTTTTGATTTTTTTGTAAAGATGATGTCTCAGCAAGTTGCTCAGGCTGGTCTTGAACCCGTGGGCTCAGGCAGTCCTCTCACCTTGGCCTCCCAACGTGCTGGGATTATAGGCGTGAGCCACCATGCCTGGCCCCAAAATTATTGCTAATACTTAATAAGTGCCCATGATTATTAGGTTCCTGAACAGGCCTAGAATGAAAACCTGTTTCCCCAGGCTGTACTCAGTGGAATTCAGATCTGGGGGCCCTGAAAAACAGGAAGAAAGGCCAAGGGAGCAGAAGCCAGTTACTTTTGCCTTTAAGAAGTGCTTCCCAGCCTGTGTGCGCAATCCTTTCAGGGGGTGCTGAGATTAGTTAATGCTGATAGTCTTAGGAGACTCAAGTCCCAAGGGAAGAGACTCATCACAGTGATGTTGGACAGAGGAGTGAACAGACTAAGCTGTGATCTGATCTTGGGACATACAGATGGGTATAGCTGCTCTGATTCTGTCTCTTGCCCCTGTTGGGTTGGAAGGTAGGAGAGGATACGGAATGTACCTCAATGTCTTCAGGAAGCATACGTCCACACAAAGCAACCACACATGCTTCATTGCCTCTCATGTTAACAGAAGCACAAGACACATAACAGCTCAGGCCACAGGTATATCTATACACCTTGTGGTACATGGGCACAGTGACACTTGAAGTGGCATGTACACTGGCCAGACGGAGCAGGAACATCCATCCTCTTGGTGTACCATAAGTTCTATGCTAGAGGTAATCAGAGAACTATGAAGGGATGAGGCTAGGTGTCCTGAATTGCTGTTACACTGAGGCCCAAGGATTCTAAGAGAAGAGGTTAGCTGCCCCATGGATTCTGAGAATAGCCAGGGTGTGGCTGCTTTGGTGTTCAGTAGGACCCAAGACTCCTGGCTTCCTGGAAAGAGGACAATATTGTTTGCTTAGGCGTCATCCATCTAGGACTGGGGGGTGGTTTGGGCTGTTGATGGTGCATTGCTCTAGCCGTGCCAAGGGGGCTGTGAATGGCTTGTGGAAGTGGAGGGCTTTTCTCTGAGTCGGGACTTTTGTGGTGTTCAGGTTTCAGACACACCAAGTCTTGAAAGCAGTGAGTAGCTTCATGGTGACACAGAACCCTCTAGTCTAAGAGAGAATCAGCGACCCCGGATCAGTCTTTGTCGGTTACCACATCTTAGGGCCCTTCTGAATAGAACACGAGAGTGTCAAGCCCTAGCTGTATTCTGGAATAGAATAACCTTTTCTCGACTTTGTATGTATTTAGAAGGAACTGACTCCTGGTGTCCGAGTGGAGAAGGGCCCAGCAGGTGGAGCTGCTGCCCCTTCGCTGGGATTAGTTCTCAGGGAGCTGGTGTCCACCCACTTGGCACACTGCTTTTCTCAGAAGCCTTCTTGTACTCAGCTGGTACTTAGTGTGCATTTGTTTATTGAATTTAATGCCGTAGGGGAGAGCTCCCATGCAAAAAACTTGAGATTAGTGTGGCTTCAAGAGGAAGACTGGTCAGGAAAGTGCTTCCTTTCCTATATCTAGTGAGGATCATGTAGGGAGGTATGTCAGAGCCCCACATTTCCCATAGGGTGGTTCTAGCAACAGTGGATGGATCTCCCTCAGTGCAGTCTTGAGCATTTGTTTACAGCTCACTGTCTCTCTCTAAGCTGCTGGCTATGGGGCACTGAACAATTAGAGCTGCACGTCCTCCAGCAGGGAAGGCAGCCAACATACGCAGACTCGCTCTGCCTACCTGTGGAGGCCGGTGAGGCCAGAGCCTGTTGGGACTTGAGACAGTGAGGCAAGTGGGTGTGTGGTGTTGGGCACCCCCCTCGAGCTCTCCTAGTTTCCGGAGCCACATGCACTGGGTATCGGGGAAGGGCAGGCCGAATCTTGGGCGGGAATCCTGGTCCAAAGCCCCAGATGAATGGAGGAATTGAGGGCGGACCTGAAATACCATCCTGAGGCTGAGCCGGTGGGTTTCTTGGGCAGCTGCCTCTGGGGTCAGAGGGTGCGCTCTCTCTAGCCAGCCAGGTCTCCGTAGGGCTGTCTCAGCGGAAAGTACAGGGAAGGAGTAGAGAGAAGCCATGAAACAAAGGCAGGCAGAGCTTCCTTTCCTAAGTCCACTGCTTAGAGTTAGGAGTCTAGAGGGGGTGCCCAGTTCGTGTTTCTGCTTGTTCTTCTCTAACTGCTCTGGTCAGAGGAAAAATTCTCTTCTGCTTTTCAGAATTCCTATACGGAATCTCCTTGTTCCCTGTTCCTGGAAGCATCATCTTCACGTTTGGGAAGTCCTGTCCAATCTGCATTTCTGAGATGTACACCTTGCTCTCTGTCCATCTTGTCTGCTTCACCTGATAGGAGAAGAGCAAACCCCTTGGTGCCAGGGTGGTGGTGCAGTCAGGGGCCTTGTGCTCCTGCAGGCTGGTAGGAGAGGCTGGTCCAGAGGCTGTTTCCAGACAAGAGGAATTTATCCAGGGGACTGTTGTGTTTGGGGGTAAGCAAAGGGTGGGAAGGGAGCCCTTTCCTGTCCCCGTGTCTGTCACCTGATGACCATGCTCAAATCGTAAGTGTTGATGAAACCATGGTGCCTGAGGCAGCTGGGCAGCCCCCCCTGCTCTGAATCAGCCTGACTCATTTACAGCTTTCTCCTAGTTACCCCAAAGGCTTCTTGGAGGTGACAAATGTGGGGGGTTGGTTTCAGGTTTCATGTTTTCACATTACTGGGTGGAAAAAAAAAAACCTTTCCAAACCAAAAAACCAGCTTCTACAGCAGAAACAACTTGTCCCAAGAGCACTGAAAATTTCCCCATCCTCTCTCCTCATCTGCTCAGAGACACTGAGAATGATGACAGTGGGGTTAAGAGGTGGGGGCTGGAACCAGGCCAAATAGAGTGTTAGGGACAGCCCCTTTGGAGGTGGCAGTACCTGCCTTACTGCTTAAAGGCAGAGGAAGACGTTTGCAGGGCCCTCCAGCTCGAGTCTGTGATCTCTGGTGCCCAGAGATGGGTTGCCAGTGCACGGGACAGTCTGCTCAGGGTGGGGAGGGGCCAGGGAAGGACAGGCCATCTCCCATCTCTAGCTAATTTGATCCCAGGAGGTCTGGGACAAGTGTCCCTCCCTCAGAGAGAGCTCTTTAGGTGGAGTGGTAGGTGGGAAGACACAGGGTCCATCTGGCACATGGAGACTGGAGGTAGTATCCCCTCCTGTTACTAGCTGGTAGCATTATAAACCACCCCCCACCCCCCACCAGGGGCAGATGGCCTTCATGGCAGATGGAGACTAGGCAGGCAGTGACTGGATGGGCTTTCCAGTCTCAGCCTGGCCTCTCTGGCTACTAATAAGACAATCAGAGGGACGGTGACAGGGCTGTATGTGTGTGTGTGTGTGTGTGTGTGTGTGTGTGTGTGTGTGTGGGTGTGTGGGG